TGATACAAACCATTAATCTATTAATCTAAACTCCATCCGTCCATCCATTTATCTCAGTTCATTTCACAAAGAAAAGCAAGTCTAAGAAAATAGCCCACACACCCCCCAGAAGCACTCACCAGTTTCTTCTGGGAGCTGCCAAGCTGTTCACAGKCCAAAGGGCCTTTATAATCCCTCCAGTAGGTTTTAGGTGGCCTCCCAGTACGGAGTGCCCTTAAAACCTCCGGAGAGTGGCAGCCCATGAGGCACACTAAAGAGATGCCTGGACCCGTATCAGTTCATTCCTTTCAATCCAGGAGAGCAGCGGCTCTGTTCTGAGCTCCTCACCTTATCTCTAAGGCTGAGAACAGCCACCCTACAGAGGAAGCTTATTTCAGCTGCTTGTRTCTTGGATGTTGTTCATGTGGACATGAGCCATACTTCATGACCGTAGGTGAAGGTTAGAATGCAAATGGACTCGAGAGCTTCACCTTTCAGTTCAGCTCTCTTTCTTCACTGCGACAGACCGGGGCAACGTCCTGATCATTGTAAACAAAGCCTCGTTCTGAACGTCTAGACTGCAAAAGCTCAAAGAGTTCAATGTTAAAATGAGGAGCAGAGTCAAAATGTTTCCAAGACAAAGTTTTCATTATATTGTTGGGAACATAGAGTGTTGTTCAGAAACACAGAGCAGGTGTGAATTTCAGGTCACCCATATGGTGCAGTGTGTGTTTGTGTGTATCATTGGAGTTTCAGGTTGTCCCGCCTATCAGCGGGCCAGCTCCAGGTGATGAGACTGAAATCTGAGTCAGGCTTTTCACGTTAGCAGCTAGACGGCTGAATCATTAGGAACCAGAACTGATCAGAAACCCTGCCTGCTGCTCGGTTTGACCCACTTCAACAAGTTGGTTCAGTCCAACCATCTTTACAAAGTAAAGAATTGTGAGCACATACTGCTTTGCAGATGTGAGTTTTTCACAGTGAATGGGCCTATTTTACTGCTTGTTTTTTCCTGTCATTTTTGCACCACAGGGAACATCATTACTTCTACATAACCCTTCCCAGAAGAGAGTAACACGTGCTATCAGACTATGTCACTTCAACAATGAAGAAGTCTGTTGCAATGAATAATTTGTGCGCGCTTGTTACTGAACACTCAACAAGATGGGAGTAATTAGAAGGCTAAAACTAAATAAAATATTTTGAAACAGAGAACTGTTTGTTTCTCCTTTGTAGGCGTTGTTTCTGAGAYGGTTTGAACAGCTACAAAGTGAGAATAATGAATGTGGTTCTCAAATCTGGAGTCGTTATTTTATTTCTTTTATTCAGCAGAAAAGCCTCAATGCCCCYTTTATTTCTTCACATTTTTATTTTTAGGCTTATAAACACCCCAAAACAGTTTAGAGCCTAAACATGTTTTTTTTTCTTTTTTTAAGTGAAGACCCTTATTGCYTGAGGCCTTTTGCAATAGATAATACTCAGTCTACTCAGGCAATATGTTGAGAAATTGCAGAAGCTGATATGATTTGAAATGAAGCTGACTGTACTTTATGGTGTATATATGTATATAAATAAGCATATGTGTTTAAGTATATGTGTATATGTGCATTGGCAAATGTACATTACTATATACAGTATCACGTGTATATTATGGGGTTATTTTTGTTTTTGTTATATTTTATTTATCTTTCATTATTCTTCTCACCCTCTCCTGTATTGAGCTGCAGTAATGTGCAAATTTCCCCATTGTGGGATCAATAAAGTTTTATCTTATCTTATCTTGTCTTAACTTAACTTAACTTAACTTATTTTTTGGCACTTGAAGTATGAGTTGTGACCCTCACCACACCAAATTTAGCTCAGTATCTGTAAAATTGGCTTTGTTGTAGATATTTATGTGTTTTTTTTTAATTACAGCCACCTTGAATGATGTTTACAAAAGTGTATTAGTTGTATAAGTCCATCCAATGATTGCTTTGTGAGAGTTTTAAAAAAAGATGTCCAGTGGTTCAGGAGATGTTTTGCTAACAGACAGACATAAAAGGATTCCAATATTTATTGAAAAAATCCCAAACAGATCTGGTGAGATCATTAAATAATTGGGGATAAAGGGATTAAGAGATGCTTACATATTTCAAATATGAGTTCCTGARAAAACAAAGCTATTCTGACACCTAAAATATTTTATTACCATCAAGGGTTTTGAGCAAACTCATCTTTTAATGTCCACCACATTTAAGATCCATCTTTTTCGAATCTTAGCTCATAAAAATGTTGTCTGTTTGCTATAGTTTCTTGGTGCTGTAGCAGGGTTTAAAGTAGCGTGAGCTTGTTTGATATTTATTAATCTTTACATATTGATTTAAACATGAAACTGATGTATTTTTTGCTGAGTCACACTCGTTTTGCTTTATAGTTCATGTATTYATTTGTGGAAAAAGACGGGACAGAACTATGTTGGACTTAGTTGTATCAAGGGCACAGTAAAGAATACTATACTCACATGTCTCATATATTTTGTCACATTTGATATCATAAGCCTTCTTATTTTGTATTGTATCATATATCACATTTTAATGTATTGCACAGTAGGTTAATGTACCCTATTATATTGAATCATATTATTTTGTATCATACCATACTACACCACGTTGTATCATAATATATTTTACTGTACCATATTGTATTGTCATACCACATTGCCCATAATAAATTACATCATAATGTACTGAACTGCAATGCATATTATTGTGCAGTTTTATATCATTATATATCATATATTTTGTTTTGTTCTATTTTAGGATTATTTCTAAACAAAGATTGAAATAAAAATCACTTAACGAAGAGTTTGACATTGATGTTCTTACTATCAAAGGGATAAACAATAGAAGTTGAGTTTTAAAAATTCATGCACAGTATTAAACCTAATAAAACCTATTCTCTTTAACCTTCTACGAACAGCGTACAGCATAAGAAATATATTTAAAAAAGAAAAAAAGAAACAAGTTTTAAAGTGGTTACCTAATTCAGGTAAAGAGAGGGGCTTTGCGTAATGGAGGGAAGATAAAAGCAGATTTCTTCTGCACTAATAACTAAAAATTATTCAGCAAGTCTTTCCCTTCAAAGGTACTCAGAAAACCACAGATATTAAAATCCTGGTGCCTCTGTCATCCTGCATGACTAAAAGGATTTGACACAGTGAGAAGTGGATGGGTCCCAGGTTCACAAAGCACATTCTGTYTGCCTGACCCCTCTCTGTGCACGCACATACACACACACACACGAGCCCACACACAAGCCCCCTCTGCTGTCACGCTCCCACCCACATGTAGAAACCAGTGTCACACTTAAATGCACACACCAGGAAGCTGCAGCCATGATTTTGTCATGATAAACCTTACAGATCAAGTGATATCATTATTTTCCACCACAGAAGATGAGCATTTTTGCTTATGTGACTTTTGCAGGAGATTGTAGCAATAAGCAAAATAACTCATGAGCCACTGGACAGATTTTTAATGAAACTCTCAAGAAGTAATTATTGAGCGTACATCTACAWCTGATTAACTTTTAGAGTCAACCTGTTTAAATATGGCAGCTACAGCTAAGCAACCTTAGCAAACACTAAAAAATGGCTGCACTTCAGCACATTTTACAGCTAAAGTTTGGTGTGATAGTAGCAAACAATCATCTCCAACACAATCTCTGAGCACTAAGATCTGTTAACCATTACAGTAACATCTATTTGTTAGTTAAGTTTCACAAGACAACACAACTCAAGATGGCCAGCACAGCTAATCAACCGTGACCCAAACAAAAATAAAATGAGTCAAATTTGCAGATTTTAAGCTAAAACCTGATGTGGTAGTAGCTGAGGGTCATTCTCAACACATGCATTAGTCCATAACATAATGTTTAACTTTATTTTCAACATTTACCCACTATAACTCTGTCTGCTCTCTTTATAAGATTAGACATTTAACACTCTGGCGGAGGATAATATGCATTTTTTTCAGGGATTTCCAAGGCCCAATAAGTTTTTCAGCTATACTGCAAGTTCATACAAWCTAATAAATAAAAACAATAACAACAACAGTGTCCATTAAGCACAGCCTATAGTTGACATTACCTCTACCTGGCTTCACCTTTAACTTTCTCCCCTCTTTATCTGCGCTGCATTGAGGAGGCGACAGCTTGCCGTAATTTGAACTAATCGGATGATTCCCTTACTCTTCATAATCCGGGACACACAGGCTGCTGTGGGCTGCTTTGGGACGGGACCACACTGCGCAACCCAGATTACCCATGTAGCTTCTCACCATGAACAGTTGTTGAAAACAAACCAGTATGGTGACACTTTAGACAAGTAAGGGGAGGGAGATATTGAAGCAGAGCAGTCAAACAAAACTCACTTTATCCATATAAATTATGTTGAATTTGGTACACGTTGCATATAAAAGCAATAAAACAGACTTTTTTATTACAATGAGTGCAACAAGGTTAGCCTCAGACGCAAAGTTTGTTTTAGCAAATAATTCAGGTTAAAACATGAGCTGAGCAACTCCATGTGACACCTGAATGAATAAAATGTGCAGCACTGAAGCTTGGCAAATAGTGCGTCTGCTCCAATATGAACACATTGTTAACGTTTTATAAAGTGTTTACAAACTAAAAAATAACTTTTTATAGAGCATTAATAAATGTTTTATAAGGAGGCTATTAATGTGAAGTGGTGCCTTGAAAAGGAGAACAGCACCCGCCGGACGAATTCGAGACGTGGATGAAAGCGGCAGAATGTTTCAGCACCTCGGACAGCGACACGCGTGTTTATCAAGAGGACACTTTTCAAACGGGAGAAGCGGTATATGCACGTGCAGGCTGCTGCATTTTTACCAAACAGAACCAACAGAAGAAACAGGTTTTATAAGCAGAAAGAAAAATATATAAAATAAACAGCCCATAAGAAACAGATCTTTCATCATGAAACGCGGCTTCAGGAAGGCAAACATCGACAGACTCACCGGGTTATTCTCGTCGAAGCCATGTGTTTAACATTCAAAGCTACTTTTCCCGCACACTGTTGCGGTCTGCGGGCCGGCAGGGAGAGCAGGGAATCCAGGAAATAACATCCACACAACTCATCCACGCGACGAAGACTGATCCTACTTTTTTTTTTAAATCTATCTTCCCTTTTTTTTTACATTTATACTTTGGGAGGTGGGAGATATTCCGTTTTTTTTTTTAGTCACAGAGGAGATGGAAAGATGTCTTCTTGAGTTGAAGTCTCCGCTGTGGGACTTGAAGCTCTGTAGGAGGAAGACAGAGCAACAGTATATGTGCTCCGGCTACCCCCTCCCCCTCCCTTCCTTGCCCGGAGAGAGAGAGAGAGAGAGAGAGAGAGAGAGAGAGAGA